GCCTAAACCAAGGTCAACACCTGTTGGCCTTCTACATGATCAACCACTAAATACAGAGCAGCTGACCATCTGAGAGAGCCCAAGGCCAAGGGCCAGGCAGAACTCTGATATCTTAGCCCCATGGCTCATGCACTGTAGAGCTGGCTCCACAAAGCCTCTGGGAAGGGCTGTACACATGGATCCAGAAAGCTGGCTCAGACATTCCCTGTGGTTCCTGAGAATCCCTTCAAGAACCAGGCAAGAGGCCAGGTGTGGTGGCTCACACCTGTAATCCCAGCACTTTGGGAGGCCGAAGCGGGCAGATCACAAGGTCAGGAGATCAAGACCATCCTGGCTAACATGGTGAAACGCCATCTCTACTAAAAATACGAAACATTAGCCGGGCATGGTGGTGGGCGCCTGTAGTCCCAGCTACTCGGGAGGCTGAGGCAGGAGAATGGCGTGAACCTGGGAGGCACAGCTTGCAGTGAGCCAAGATCACACCACGGCACTCCAGCCTGGGAGACAGAGCAAGACTCCATCTCAAAAAAAAAAAAAAAAAAAAAAAAAAAACAAGGAACCAGGCAAGAGTTGCGACGATGGTGTCTGTGCAGGACATGCACTGCAGCTGACCTATGTGCTTGTCTGTATAAGATCCAGGGGACCCTGGAAACCAGACCCCATTGTGCTTCTGCTGCACTAAATTCAGAAATACATAAAGACCAAGCTGTATGAGCCACGGGAGACTAGGGACTATAAACGAGGACTATGTTCACACTTAAGTCAACTATACTGTTCCCTGCAATCTTATCGCATATGTACGTAACTCTGAGAATGATCAGGTGCACCTGGCCTGGTTGAGCTGATTCCTAGACCATATCCAGAGAAGCCTACATGCAGAACTGCTCCAGCCTTTCAGAATGAGAAAGGGAGAGTCCAGTGTTCCAGACTCCTGAGATGAGCTTCCCCTCCCTCAGGCATTATCCTCTGTAATGTGGACTCACTGGTAAACATTTGGGAGCCTGAAACTTGCTCCTTCATCTGCCTGCAGAATACTGCTTATCTATCAGACCTTCTCACTGTCCTGACTTCCTTCTGGTTCATTTCGGTAAGTCAGTCCCATTTGATTTACCTGTGTGGTGCCTTTGTCTGATCTTCCCACCCATCCATGACTACACTTGACATTGCATCCATTTTACAGCATGTCATTCCTACAGTGGACGGCTTGTACATCTTGCTGTCTGCTGCGGGAAACGGGATCTACAACTCCACTAAGTTTGATTCTCACTATCTGTTGAGCCAACAGGTTACGCCTCACTCCACACCAGCTTGGGATCAAATCATGGGGAAACCTACCGATGACATTCCATAATAAACTCCCTGCCTTCCTGCCTCACTTAGCAGCAATCTGCCTTCATTTCCTCTCCATTCCCTTCTGCCCCCCACCCCAAGAAGAAATGCAAGGATTGCTAGGTATCTAATCTTTACCAACACTCAGGCCTGTTGACTTAAAAATAAAATAAAATAAACCCTGTAGCCTGTTATTTTATCACTGATATATTTCCAGTGAATGCCACGGCTTCCTGGCATCAACATCTCCCCTTTTTTTTTTCTTTTTTTTTTTTTTTATGTCTTGGCTTTTTGTTTGTACTGGTTATAGGGCTGTTTTTTCTTCCACCACAGCATTTCTCAGAATGCTGATGGGTTGGGGGGAGACAGAGAACAGTAGAAAAAACGGAATAGCACATTAATCCTGGAGTTTTGAGGGTAAGGGGGAGAAAAAAAAGCCTTCCACAAAGGACATCTAGCTGGGACCCGAGGGGCTGCTGATCTGAGTGAGGGCCGAGCACACAAGAGATTATTTTCTCCTCTGATTTCTTTAGACCCCCAAGCTTCTCACCAAAGGCACTGTCCCTGGCTCTAGCTTCTTGGGCTGCAGCCGCTGACTTTCCACCCTCAGTCAAAAGCACATCCTTGGCCGAGCAGGGTGGCACACGCATGTAATCCCAGCACTATGGGAGGCCGAGGCAGGTGGATCACTAAAGGCTAGGAGTTCCAGGCTAGCCTGGCCAACATGGTGAAACCCCATCTCTACTAAAAATACAAAAATCAGCCGGGCATGGTGGTGCACGTCTGTAGTCCCAGCTGCTCAGCAGGCTGAGGCAGGAGAATCATTTGAACCTGGGAAGTAGAGGTTGCAGTGAGCCGAGATCATGCCACTGCACTCCAGCCTGGGTGATAGAGTAAGACTCTGCCTCAACAACAACAACAACAACAACAACAAAAGCACATTCTTCCTGTCAGCAGACCACATGTGACACCGAGGATTCCAGGGCCAGTGTCTTGCTGTCAAATGCTCACAAGGACAGGGACATTCTCTGCACCACCTCACAGTCAACACAACCCCCATGGAGAGTAGCACTGTGGACACTACACACTAGAACTCAGAGCCAGTGAGGACCACGCAGAGATGAGGCCTAAACAACACAAGGGACAGAGGGTCAGTTCTTCACCGCTGCAGTGACCATGTGCCCATCACAGCTCTAGTGATTTCTGGATCTTACTTCATTAATTCAGCACCAACCCTGTTGACCATCTCCATTTTAAGAAGTGAGTGAAGGCTGGGCGCGCGGTGGCTCACGCCTATAATCCCAGCACTTTGGGAGGCCGAGGTGGGCGGATCACGAGGTCAGGAGATCGAGACCATCCTGGCTAACATGATGAAACCCCGTCTCTACTAAATAATACCAAAAAATTAGCTGGGCGTGGTGGTGGGTGCCTGTAGTCCCAGCCGCCACTGGACTCCAGCCTGGTGACAGAGCGAGACTCCGTCTCAAAAAAACAAAAGTAGTGAGTGAAACAAGGCCCAGAAAGGTTAAATAAGTATCACAGGCTCTCACCACTAAATATGGCCAATTCCACTACCCAGGCTCTTTCGAATGTAACATGGCCAACCCTCCCTCTCTCCCCAGAGGAATGAGGGTCTTGCTGAAGGGGAACTTGGAACTCTCAAGAGAGTGGTATCTTTTGTGGCCCTCTCAGGTAAAGAAAAGCAACCAGGAACCAGGACGTGATGAGAGCCAGAAAAACAATTACTTCCCACCGTACCCCAGTTCTCATAGCACAGAGCCGAAATAATTCACATCCGGAAAGATGATACATAGATCTGGTCAACATTGGGGAGGGGGTTTCCTCTTTAGGAAAGTTTGAGCAAAAACAAACACAACCTCAGTCTATTTCTGAGCGGTAGAAGCACAAGAAGACACACCTTAGTGGCGGTTATTTTTCGCACCCACTGGAAAAAGTCGGCTACGTTTAGCTCTGCCACACTTTCCACAAGGTAAGCCTCTGAGCTGTCGAAGAGGCAGGGTCAGAGCAGATTCCGGCTGGGGTGATGAGATCAACTTCCAGATATCCCCACCCCAACCCCTCTCACTCACATCCCCCGTACCTGAACGAGCAACAGGGGAATGGGGGTGAAGCGGGGGAGGTAGAGAATCAGCAAAACAGCAGACCACAGGGTGTGCAGCAAAACCCTGTCATCAATGATAACAGACAGCTGGATTTCTTGACTCCATTCACCTGACCCAGAAACTAGAGGGTAAAATGATGGGCATAGGGTTTATGACAGAGGCAAGGAAAAAAAACTCACTACTGATTCCCTCTGTTATTTACTCCACTTCCAACAAGCAATCTCCAAAACCCTCTGTTCCACAGACATGATCCTCTTCAAGGCAGCAGAGTACCAGGGGGTAAGGACCTAAATTTGAATCCAGCCCTGCCTCTCACTATCTATGTGACCCTGGAAAAGAGACTTGACATCTGAGCCTTAGTATTGTTCCATGTAAAAGAAGGACATTACTGGCCAGGCACAGTGGCTCACACCTGTAATCCAGCACTCTGGGAGGCCGAAGCAGGCAGATCACCTGAGGTCAGCAGTTCGACACCAGCCTGACCAACATGGTGAAACCCCGTCTCTACTAAAAATACAAAATTAGCTGGGTGTGGTGGTGCATGCCTGTAATCCCAGTTACTCAGGAGGCTTGAGGCAGAAGAATCGCTTTAACCCGGGAGGCAGAGGTTGCAGTGAGCCAAGATCACGCCACTGCACTCCAGCCTAGGCAATGAGCGAAACTTCGTATCAAAAAAAAAAAAAAAAAGAAGAAGAAGGAGGAGGACATTACCTATCTCAAAGGGCTGTTGTAATGAAAATGCAACTCATGGAAAGTGCTTAGTACTGAACCAAACATGTCATAAGAGCTCAATGAATGGTTATTTCATAGAGAAGGAAACGGAAGCCGGAGGGAAGCCAATGCTAGCCTGAAGCGGCATTTAATTCAATGTGAGCAGAGATGGGATAAGAATGAGACTTCACAGGCTGCAAGACCAAGACTCTCATACCCATCCTTTCCCCTTGCATTTAAATCAATTCCCCCTAAATGCATGTGCAGGATCAGAGAATGAGAAGGGAGACAGAGCAAAGAGATTAACTTTCACCAGGAATAAGGTTTGGAACCTGCAGCTGCTCTTGTGGCTTAAGTAGCCTCCAGCCCCTCCCATTCTCCCAAGCTGCAGAAAGCCTGTCTTTGCAGGGACCACTGCATTGGAATCCGAGGACCTGAAACCTAGTAACATGGTCAGATCCAGGGCACAAGAGACCCTCATCCCACTCCCTTTCTCCTTCTCTCCATTTTATCAGTCACTCCAAGCAAAGGAGAACAGACCAAACAGCAGAAAAAACAAAGAGGAGCCCAAAAGCAAAAAACAGAGGGAAGGGCCTATTAAGAAGCTGAGCCCATGAGTGTCCCCTGGTGCTTTTTGGAAAGATCTTAGGCCCCCTCACTACACTCTAAAAAATCTGCTCCCCTATCCCCCAGAACCTTAGAAGAAGTGTTTTTGTTTTTTTGACAAATTGCCAAGACAGGGGAGTCAGGCCCCTAACCTGGGAGCAGCCAGGGTGTGAAGAAGGGGTATGAGGGCCTCAAGTCCCATATCAGGTGTGGGGCTGGAGCGGGGCCTACCTGTGCTGCTCCACAGCCTCGTTATCAGGCAGCTCGACCCCACACACGCTGCACTGCTCCCCGATGGTCCGGCTCTCTGACTTCATGCCCACAGCCAGCTCCCCCAGCTTGCTGAACAGCTCCCTCTGGATGAAGCCCTGGGGCAGCAGCCCCCCATAGGTGCTGAAGTCCATGGAGACAGCCAGGGCAGGCTGCACGTGGAGGCCAGAGGTCACCGAAGATGGCATGCTCAACACAGCGTCAGCCTTGTGGTTGGGCAACACGGAGTAGATGCCCAGATGCTTCTCAGGCGGGGGTGCTGGGTGCTCAGGTCGGCCAGTGGGGGCCTGGCCAGCCTCAGCTGGGGGTGGCAGCTGCTCGGCACTCTCCTCTCGCCCATAGTGCAGCTCCCTAGCACTGGTGATGACGCTGCTTCGAGTTGGGGTCCCAGGCCCCTCTTTGCCTCTTTCCTCAACTTTGTCCCCCATCCCTCCTGAGATGCTGGACTCAGCTGCCCCAGGGCTGTCCTGGCTGGGCACCTCATCCACCTGCATCATCTCCGTCTTCACCTCAGCCACCCCAGGGTGCCGCCCACCCCCAGCCAGAGTTGGCTCCTCGGGCCCTGCAGGTGGCTGAAGAGTTCCCTGCAGGAGAGACTGTCCTATGGTCATCAAACTGTCCACTGCAGCCTTGGTGGGACTCATGGCTGAAAGACCAAATGAGGTGGAGACTGAAGGGCTCTGGTCCACCATGGATGCAGGGAGGCTCTGTCCAGCCACACTGGCATACCCACTCTCCTCGCTGGAATGCTTTGAGATGAAGATGTTCTTGAGGTACCGAGCCTTGCGGTCCTCTTCTTCCTCGGCCCCACCGTCGGCCATGGTGGCCTCCGTGTCATTGTCGTCTGAGGCCTGGATGGTCTCCAGGATCTTCAGGCACTGCTCCTCCAGGTACTCGATCTCCAGGATCTCGGCAGCATACAGCAGGTCATCCAGGTCCTCCGCCTTGGCTTGCAGCGTGGCTGTATATGCATACTCCAGAATCTGCTGGAAGGTCTTTGGCGAGAGGAAGTCCAGAGTATAGTGCTGACTGTTGCGGTGGAAGAGGATCTCAAACATCTTGCTGGTGCAGGCCAGCACCGTCCGGTGGGCGTGGAACTCCTGGCTGTCCACCATGATGACCACATCGCACAGAGTCCCGGCCAGCCGCATCTGGTTGGCCTTGCACAGCAGCCCCGTGGGGTGGCTAGGGTTCTGCAGCTGGATCATGCCCATTTTTGTCAGATCCATGGTGCTCCCCTCGGCTCAGGCATGAGGCTCTCTTTCCTTCTGGGCTCTGCGTGGCGGGGCAGGGTGGGCTTCCTGGGCCAATAGAGGGGGCTAGAGGAAAGAAGAGGGGAAGAAGCAAAAGAGATGAGAGAACAAAAGACAAATTCATCAGTGTCCCTAAAAGTAAGAATTCAACCACTACAACATGCCCCCTCCTCCCTGTTGCCAAACCCCTAGCAAGAGAATCTGAGAGATTTTAATTGAAGTAGCTTCCTAGAAATCTACAAATCTGCCTTTCAAGCCCAGGGATGCTGAGAGTGAAAAGAAGGTTCTGCCACAGCAGATGCCTAATTCACTACTCTATGACATCTGTTAGATGAAGTGAAATGAAAATTGTAGTGAAGTCCTGTAAGTCCTCAGCTTTCTCTGTATCTGAGAGTAGGGGCTCCCTAGGCAAGGCCAACATTCATTATGACGAAGTGCACTTACTTAAAATTAGCAAGACTTCAGCCCCTTCCTTGTCAGCTTCACGTCAACCCCCTGGATGTCAAACCTCATCTTTAAAACAAAGTTTTTCTAAACTCTGCCTCACTGCAGGAGCCTCAGAAGCAGAGTCAAACTCATTGGAGGCCAGGAGCCTGTAGTCATGGTCCACAGACATCTATGGACACTGGGCTCTCCTCCACAAAGGCTATCCTCTCACCATCAGCCTTGGCCTCTGGCCTTCTACTATTCTCAGGGCTGCAAAGCACTGGCAGCCCCAAGCCCTTCCCTATCCCTAGGTACTAACAGGCACATACATACAACCCACACACAAACTTAGGTCATTTCTACCCATGGAAGCCTCAAAGTTATTGTGTGTATAATCTAAAATCTGAACTGTGTGTATGTACACCAGCCAGAGACAGAAAGAGTGTGTGGGGCAGGGTGTAGTGTCTCACGCCTCTAATCCCAGCACTTTGGGAGGCCCAGGCAGGCGGATCACCTGGTGTCGGGAGTTCGAGACCAGCCTGACCAACGTGGAGAAGCCCCGTCTCTACAAAACATACAAAATTAGCCAGGCGCGGTGGCACCCGCCTGTAATCCCAGCTACTAGCGAGGCTGAGGCAGGAGAATCCCTTGAACCCGGGAGGCGGAGGTTGCGGTGAGCCGAGATTGTGCCATTGCGCTCCAGCCTGGGCAACAACAGCAAAACTCCGTCTCAGAAAAAAAAAAAAAAAAGCGTGTGTGTGTGTCTTTACATACACACACACACACTTATATAAGGGGCCGTACCTACCGTCCTGCCCACAACTGCCCGGTGGACAGGAGGATCTAAAAAACGAAGAAGGATGGATCATTAAGGTATGGAGAGAGACCACAGTAAATATGCTCCCCTACAGCCAGGAGCGCTCATGCTGGGCTGGGTGTGTGAACTCCACGTGTGTCCCACAGGCTCCAAGGAGTCTGCAAGTCCTGTGACCAGGGGCAGCAAGGGATGCCGGACATGGCTCAGAGGCGCTGGAAGTGATATTGGCACCAGCATCTGTGGTGTGAGTTACAACCAGTACGAAGGGAAGACAGGGCTGGGAAACAAAGGCCTCTCCCAGAGCCTGTTCGGGATCAATAAGAGGGCTCCTAGACTCCAAACCCCGCTTAACGAGTGTTAGAAAGACCGCGCAGGCCCAGGGCCCTCCCCGTGTCTGCCTTGCAGCGACCAATATTGCAGTGAATGCACTGAGAGCAAGGAACAGCAAGGTCTCTCCCTCACTCTTCGAACACTGCTTGCTTGCCTCCACCCCCAAAAGAAGCTCTATCAGTTCAGGAGCCACCAAGCTCACGCAGAAAGGATTCACAGGACGGCTGGTCAAGACACTTTTGTTGCCTACCCCGGGGTGGGGACGGAGGCCATCAAGGGTGGGATGAACATTCAGCAGAGCCTGGCCACCGCGTGCTTTCCCGCAGACACCGGGGCTTCTGAGAACTAGGAGGGAACAGCCAAAAGAATGGAAGCTTGGCGCCCCAAAACAAGCCCTTTGGGTCCTGAGGGAAATCGGGGCGCCCACGGGCAGCCGTCTTCCCCACCCGCCGCTCGGCGCCCGCGATCCGGCCGGCGCTGGCTGCAGCGTCCAGCCGGGCGGCGCGGGGAAGAACCGGCGATAACCCGCCTGAGCTCCGGGGATCGACCGTGCTCTCACACGCCTCCAGTTCCCAGCGACCCCCCACCGAGACTTGGAGACGACTTCAGCAAACTTGGGGAAGCAACTTTTCCCGAGGAGCTAGACGCCTGAAAGATGAAGAGCTGGGCTAGGGACGAGGGAAAGCGAAAGAGACTGGGAAAAAAGGCGACAGTCCGGGCGGGCTGGACTCCGCGGGGAGAGCAGCAGGGAGGCGGACCCGCCCCGCGGCGAAGGGGAAGCACAAAAGCCCCGCAAACGAGTTGTAGGAGGAAAGGCGAGAAGGGGTCTGCCCGCCCTCCCTCTCCGACCCAGGGCCGTGACCCCCGGGAAGCGACCGGCTGGGTCCCCGGCCTCTGGCCAGCGGCGCCAGCGGCCGGCGCGCCCGTCCGAAGCACCGTGCGAGCGTCTCGCGGAGGCGGCGAGCGAGTCGGTGCGGAGCGCTCCGTGCGTCCCAGTGGGTCCGTGGGCCGGCGGGACCCTGCGCATTTCAAGCGCGTGCGGGCGTGTGCGAGGCGCTGTGCGAGCTAGCGGCGGGCGCGCCAGGGTGGGAAAGGCATCCCGAACGCATCAGGTGCAGAGACCCGCACCCACCGAGAGCGGCCGGGAGCGCACGGCGAGCTCCGGTGTCACCGCCGGTCCCGTCGAGAGCCGAGGAGGGCCCGGAGCGCTGGAGACCCTCTGGAGCTTCCCTCCCTCCCCTGCAAAAGGGGGGGATCAAGTCCAATCAATAAAAAGCCCACCACGTTTTTTCAAACAGAAACAAAACGTAAGCAGTCCCAGTCCTGTTCCCCTCCGCCCCCAGATCTACTCGTCAGCTCCTCCGATTCTAGCTTCCCAGCCGGCCGGCGAATAGACACACAAATAAATAAACCACAACCCTATCTCGCGCCCGCGCACCGGTCCGCATACATAAGAGCACCCACGGGCTCTGTTCCTCCGCTGGCCCCTGGCGGTACAAAGCCTCCGGATCCCCGACCCTCTGCTCACGCCCTCAGCCCCCGCAGACCGCTACGCCCCCCACCTCTCACCCCGACCGTGCCCTGGAGAGGAAGGGCTGGGGAGGCAGCTGTGCCCAGGCTGACAGCCGGGGCTCCCCCTTCTAGCCGACCCCCAACCGGTTGCGGCGACGGCTGCAGCGGCAGGAAGGGAACACGCCAAATAAAAAAGGCACAAGCCCAGCGGCCGAGTGGCCGAAGCGAGCGCGCGCCCCCCAGACCTCTCCAGCCCCGGGGAGCCCCGGCGCGCGTCGCTCGCTCGGCGGTGCGCCTCTTCCCGGCCCCTCACTCACCGCAGCCGAGCCGGGCACTGTGGGGTGGGTGTGCGTGCCTGTCGGGGGGTGTGTGCCTGTGTCGGGGAGGGGTGTTGCTGGGGAACTGTTGCTCTCCGTATCAAGGCGGCAGCGACAGCATCGCCCGGCAGTTCGCAGTACCCGCTCTCATCGCCCTCAACTCCTCTCTGCTGCGAGGTTAGCAAATCACCACCGGCTGCTGCGCCTCCGCCGCGTCCCACGTCAACGCCGAGCCCCCTCCCCTGCAAGGCCCCGGCGCCTCTCCATCTTTAGTGCTGGCGGCCGAGCCCGGCTCCCTGCCCACAGCTGCCCCCCTTCCCTCCCCCCTCCCGCGCCGTCCTCGGGCTCAGCCCGCCCACCACCCCGCACTGGCCGAGCCCGCGCGCGCTCCCCGCCCCACCTCTCCTTTCCCCTCCCCTCCCTTCCCCTCCCTTCCCCGCGCTCCGCGCTCCGGGCTTCGCCTGACATCTAGCTGCTGCTGGGGCGCTGGCGGCCGCCGCTCACCGGCCGAGCGGAGAGGAAGGAAGGAGCTAGAAGACAGGCGTGCAGGGGACGCGGAATCCTTAATAGGGGAACTGAGGGTGAAGGGCGCGCAGGAGCCCCCACCTCCTCCCAAGATTTTAATTTCCATTGGATACGAGTTTTGTCCCCCCTCCCCCGCACCCCGGTGCTCAAGCACGCAGTTTTGTCCCCTCTTCCAATGTTTGCCCCAATTCAGTGTGTGTCATCTCGCCTTTAACTTTTTTCTCATGGCTCTGGGCTGCATTCCCAGTAGCCCCTGACATCTGTTTCAAAAGGCCGCTTTCCTAGTCCAAACCCGGGCCTCTCATCCTTCTGGCTACTGCGCGCCTCCCGGCTTGAGCATCCGGATTTCAAGAAGTCTCCCGAGGCAGAGTTCGAGGGTCCTGGTGAACCAGGTGCCAGAAGGTCCGCGAGATCTGTTGTCGAAGCGAGAGGTCCCTTTTTAGCTGTCGCGATTGCTGGAGGCCAAGGTCGAGTCCTGGGAGAAACTTTTCTCTCTCTCAGACTTGGACAGCCTCTCGGCTCTGCCCGCACCCGACCCCCGACCCCCAGCAATCTGGGTGCAAACAGTTTCCGACAACTGCGCCCAGCTCAGTGCACAGTCTTCAGGGGGCAGGGGAAAACTTGGAAAAGCTCTGGGCCCCTCAGAAGTGCGTCCTCCTTCAGCGGGTCGTCCTGCTTTAGAGGGTAGAGAGGCCAAAGAAAATGTACCCTTCCTCTGACTGCAGAAAGCTGCCCTCTCCTCTTTTCCCTGGAGCTCAGCGAAGGTAGGGTGCCAGAGGTGGGAAGCGCTCTTTGGGCACCGGTTGTGGATTCTGACCAAAACCCAGGAGGTTGGGGTGGGAAGTGGGGGTGGCCGAGAGCGCCATCCAGGGGTCTCAGGCCAGTCAGCCCTCGAGGTCACGTGGTTTTAGCAATGCGGGGCTTAGGTCACCGAGGCCTGGGTCTGCATGTTCTGTCCGTGACTCGCGGGTGGGCCAAAGGTTTTCCGCAGGACTCACCTAGAATCACATCTCCATGCGTGCCTCTGGCACTGCCCCAGACGGAGAGTCAAGTCACTCTCCCGTGAACTGTAGGGCCATGGAAGGTGGCAGAAATCTGTATGTGTCTGCTGAAGGCCAGACAGCAGAGTTTACACATCGGAACTGATCCGAGTTCACAAGGGCCGCTCACGGGACAGCCCCAAAGACGGGTCAGTCCATCCCAGCAAGAGCTACTCCTGACTCCTAAGAGCAGGGAAAGCTCAGGCCAGCAGGAGTCTGTAGAGAGAGCTGGGCAGGGGAACACACTTGAGTGAAGGAAGGGCTCCTCTGATAGCACTGGATACAACCACATCCAACCCAGGGCAAGGGGATGGGAAACCCAGTCCCTGGGTATTCATTTCATTAACAATACAGAGCAATCCCTTTTAGAGACTACCTGTTTCTCCAACTAAGGTCTATACACCCTGTTAGAGGAAAGAGATTTAAAGAAAGTTAGGAAAGAACTGGTCTGCAAGGAAAGCAAGACTGGAGGGATGTAAGGAGAGGAGAAAAGACCCTCCTGGTGCCTCACCAGGGAAATAGAAGAAAGAATCATTACACTTGTTGAGCTTCTGCCTAGATAGTGCCTGCTGGAGGTTTCCGCTTTGCTGTCCACATCCACCTACCAGCCTCTCCTCAGTGCAGTAGCAGGAGAAGCACACAATTAACCCCCTGATCCTAATCTCCTATTAATCCTCAAATCAGAGAAAGAGAGAATCTCTGGAAACAATGGGAGAGAAAGCACAATCCTCCATGGCCCTGGCCTCCCACCCCCGTGCCATATTCACTCTATGTGAAAATCTCCCTTGCTTCATAAACTCTGCCCATTAAAAAGCCCAGCCCTTGTTAGTAAGTGTTAAAGAGAGATTAATGCCTGAATTTAAGAGGTGGAGAAGGTAACAAAAAGGAAGAAGGCAGGCGAGGCTGTGGGCTGAATGCCAGCATTGGGCTCCAAGCATTTCCACTTAGCACTGAAGGCTGGCTGCACAGCAGTTTGATAAGGTTTATTGGGCCCAGATAAAGCAGCAGCAGCTCCCCCACCAAAACTGGCACCATTTATAGCCAGAGCTATGTCCTTGGGTCCTGGGAAGGCTGATGAGAATCCTCAGTTCAGAGATTTCATATGGCAGCACCTAAAAACAAGCAGGATGGAAAATTACAAGAGAATACTCAATTGCTCTCGCGCGCGCATGCCCGCTGTCTTTCTGTCTCTCTCATGTTCATGTATTTAGAATGATTTTTCTTTTACATTTTTTCTTGAAGGGTCTTGTAAGGGAAATCTGGGTATCAGTTCTAAAAATACACGAGATCTCAATCTCAGGGGGAGATCATGCTAGAGACAGAGGAATAGATGAGCTGGCTTTTGCATGGAATTCCATTGCTAAATCTTCTTATTCTCTCATCTCCTTCTTTACCCATGTACCTCCCACCACTGGCAGTCTTTCAGAGCTCAGTTAGTGGAAGAGGAGGGTATAGCAGTTCTAAGAGATCATACAGGAATGAGACAGTGAAAATAATAACTCATTCTCAGCACTGACTATGAACCTTAACACATTACCTATGTTGTTTTATTTAATCCACATAACAATCCTATTAACGCAGGTGCTATTATTTTCCCAATTTCTGTGGACGTGAAAACTGAGGCTCAGAGAGATTAAGTGCCCTACTGCAGACTGTAGCTCTATTAAACATCAGAGCTGAAACTTTAAATCAGACCATTCTGACTGCAAAGGCTCATGCTCTTAACTTCTAGATTATATAGCCTCTAGTGAAATAGATCAAGGAAACAAGGGCTTTTAACTTTCCTTCTTCTCTTGCTCTACTGAGGCCAAGATCTGTGCAGCAGCCAGCCAAGCTAAGGACCAAATGGTTCTCAGCTTGGTCACCAGGTAAACAGACTTAGATCCCCCAGGATCTTACACTTTGCCTCCTCCCTCAGAATCTCAGGCAGAAGTTGTGGAGGGGGCTTTGAATTACAAAAAATCTTCAACTAAAGAGATAGGAAGAAGAATATAGTGGTGTTTTGAGTATTCTGAGTATGAACGGAATGTTGCAACTCTTTAAGTTCCAACTCTTAATTTGGAACATATATTTAATTTTTTTATTTCAAAGTAAACTTTTCTATCACGATTAAAAAAAATCAAAGATCCTACCTTTTGGGGAGAAGATGCTACTTTGCATTTCCCCAAAAACTTGTGCTGAGTGGAGAATGAAGCATGTTCAGGGAGAGATGCAGGTAGTGACACCCTTGAGTAGAGGAAAAGTATTTTCTGCAGTTGAGAACTCCAGATTGCCA